TTTAAATAAAAGTAATTGCATTTTACACGCGGGGACTCAGCGAGTCGGAGGCCCAACTCGTCGAGTAGACTAGACTCTTGGACGCGGGTTTTAAATAACGTACTCGACGAGTCAGAGAGCCCGACTAGGCGAGTAGGACTGTCTGGATGAAACCCTAATATTTAGGGTTTGCACCCTATTTAAGCACCTTATCTTGTCCCAACCCAGCCCCCATCGCCCCTATCACTTCCAGAAGACCCTAACTCGAAACCCTAACCATTTATTGAGTGTTCTTGAGCTTTGTGGTGCCATTTTTGTGTGTTTGAAGTTTGAAGAAGAGAAGGACGTTTGGAAGATCAAGAGAAGGCTAGTAGATCCAGAAGTTTTTGCTTCATTTCCACCTCATTCAAGGGAAAAAGCTTCAATCTTGACTTCTCATTTTGATGGATCTTCTCTAGGGCTTCGATCTATCATTTTTGGGCATTTCTAAGGCCATATTTGGATTGGGTGTGTATCATGGAGTTACACTCCAGATCTAGAACCATTGAGGGTTCCCATGGCATAAATGTGCCAACTTTATGGCCATGGGAAGCCCATGCACCACATAAACCCCATTTCATAGCCTTTTGAGTCAAAAATCCCATGCATGGACATCAAGCTTGTAGCTTTACGTATAAAAGGGACCCTAGGAGGTCAGATCTATGATTTGGATGCATTAAGACCCACTGAAATCGACTTTATAGTTTTGGACAAAGAGGGACTCGGCGAGTCATTCATGGGACTCGGCGAGTCGGGTCGTATTCCCATCCAACCCTTTCTGTTGATGGACCAGATGCTAAGATAGAAGAAAAACTCAGTTGTCTAGGTCTCATAGGGACCTAGAAATCATGGAACTCGGCGAGTGGATGAACAAAATCGGCGAGTTCAAGGCAATGTCCCAACCCCATGGAGACGGACTCGACGAGTTTAAGGAGAACTCGGCGAGTCATAGACTGGACACATTCATATGGATGAAGATGAACTCGACGAGTTCAAGGATGAACTCGGGAGTCGAGTCAACTGGATGTTGACTTTGACTAGGGTTTGACTTTGACTTTGACCTGGACTTGAGTTGACCCTTGTAAGGGAGGGTTGTGAGTATGAATTAGTAATTGAGGAAGGTTGTTGTGTAGGGATTGAGGAGTTAAGACGAGTGGATTTCCGTATCGAGGACTGTGCAGACACTACACGACATCGAGGTGAGTTACCTTCCAGTAGAAGTGGGTCTAAGGCACCAAGGCCGGCCCACTAGTAAGGGTTATAGCAGAGATGATTGTCTTTGTGATAATCATCTGGTATGTTGCTATCTGCTACGATTATGTGATAATATGATATGATGTTATGTGTTAGTAAAGTAAGGGGAATAGTCCCCGTATCAGGACAATAGAGCCAAGGGGTAGGTTAGGCACCCCGGTATGCCTAACAGTATGTTTATGCTATGCTTTTACGTGGTAGTACTAGAGGGTGAAATAGTCCCCGTAACCAGTTGAGATAAACCGGAGGGGTAGGTCGGACACCCCAGTATGTCTGACAGGGGTAGGTTAGGCACCCCAGGATGCCTAGCAGGGGTAGGTTGAGCACCCCGGTATGCTCAGCAGGGTAGGTCGGGCACCCAGATATGCCTGGCAGTATGTGTTATGTATGGTATGTGGTATGATGGGGGAAGTCACTAAGCTTCGTGCTTACAGTTTTCAGTTTGGTTTCAGGTACCTTCAGCGAAGGGGAAAGAGCCGGCACGGTAGCAGCGCATCGCACACACATGATTTCCGCATTTTGAGATCCATGGGATTGTACTATGACATTATTCTATTTTATGTTTGGTTTTGAGACACACGACTAATGTTTTATGAGATGATACGAATCGTTGATGTTTTTCAGTAAACTGTATTACAAATTAGTTAATTAAAAACAAAATTTTTGGTCTTGAAAATTGGGATGTTACAATATCGAGAAGCACTGGCAAAGCTAGATTTTAGACGATCCCAGGCCTCTCGTGAGGTAGTGGCGGATGAGATCAAGGGTTGAATGGAATCAGAACAACAACCAAGGATTGCACTAATAATAGTTTGATCTTGTTGGTAACAGGAAAGATACTTTGGGTTTGGTTTGGATTTGTCTTTATCATCTAGAAAACGCTTAGGCAGCTGTTGATCACCGATGATGAAAGTGTCAAGTTAAAGCCCTATTAGGGTAGATTCAACTTGACGGCGCCAAACTAGAAAGTTATTGGTGGTAAGTTTGATCAGAAAGTGGGTCGCTGCTGTGACTTGGATTGTGGCTTTTGTCATTGTGAGTGACGAGGGAAGAAAGAAGAAAAGATAGATGTAGGATTGACTCTTTAGAGTAATTGGGGCTTTGATACCATATAAAGTATTTAGGGTTGCTATGAAAGTGTATATTCATTCGATTAAAATCAATTGTACATGAGAAGGCTATATAACCGATGTATATAGATGAGAAGGAGATAAACTAGGAGCTAAACTAGGTAAGCTTTTGATTGAATAATTTACAGCTGTATTTACTAAAACAATAATATAAAGATGGTAAATTAAATAGTATAGATTTAATTATCATTGGTCCTTAATACATATAATGGGGAGCCCTTAAGATCTTGATCCAAGTGATCGCGAACAAGTCCCTCATACTCACTAGGATTGTTATGGGGAGACATGTCATATTAATCTCAGCTTCGTCCTCTGGCCTCCATTTCGGCTCCAAATGTAGCCAATGATTCACTATTTGAGGAATACTCCAAAGCCCGAAGACTTGTTGCACTTCCACTTTCACTTGATCAAGAAGAGACTTGTCAAATGAAAATAATTGACATTCCTGCCCAGAAGAGAAAACCAAACAAATCTAGCTAAAGTACAAATAAGCAAATATGGAGTTTCCCCATTATATTGATGATGTGGCAATTTTTTTAAAAGAACATGAACTATATGAACTTTAATTACATGATTAGGGTGTTAACCCATTGCAGCCATGGCTTTTCGTTTTCAACCCCACGACCCATTGTCTATCATATATGCCAAATGACAACAAGTGGATTCATCTTTGAACAAAGTGTGTGAAAGATAGTACTACATTTAATTCTCCCTCCATTCAATGCAATTCGATCAATGTAGCAAAATCGATGGCAACTCTTCGGTTATAATATGAAACTGCATTGGCATTTCAAACAGTGTTCAGATTTGATTTTGAATGTAGTTGAATCATGATAAAACCTTCTATACGTGGTAGGTGTGGGCGTTTATAAAAAATGCACAGTTTTCACATTTAGATCAGGAAATTCTATGGGTGGTTGTTAAACCGAAAAAAAACTATATTAGTTTTAAAATAATTTTCCTTAAATATAACCCATGGGAAACTTCTTATATTTTGTTTTAAATCAAAGATTTATGACTAAATAATAATAAAAACTTCGATCAACATTTGCACATAATATACAAGTAATTATCCTCCATTTCTAGCCAATAAACTCTAACACGTGTTCACCAATTGAAGATAGTAAATGTTGTCTCGGTGGAGGAAGTGGTAGGTGTCCCGGGCCACTACTCGATTTCGACTCCCAAGATCATTTTTTTTGTATTATGTGCAACTACAAAAATTATTGTGCAACTATTATTAGGTTCAACGTAAATAAATATGGTGCACAAAAATGAAAAGAATGCAATGATTTTCTTCGTAGGATGGGAAGATTTGTTGACTTCCAGCCTCCATCTACAAGTCCACCAAAAAAGAAGAAGAAGAAAAGAAATAAAGAATAACAAACCTGTCAATAACATCTTTCAAGAAATGCTTATGTCGACTATAATGCTCTTTGTTGAAATGACTGCACACATTGATTTGTTGAATTCCAGCCTCCATCTAGAAGCCCACCAATTTTTTATATGGAACCATTTTCTTCCTAGGATGACAAGATTTCTTTCTACCTTACGATGAACACATTAAATGGAGAAGATGAAATGGCGGGAGGATTTAATATAAAAAGAGTTTCTTGTATCAGTTGTAAGGCATCCTAAACACAGAGAATTAGAAAAAGTCAAACAAATCAAACATGGAAAGTCAATATTCTATGAAAAATTTGTCAATTCATGAAGATAGTTCTGCTAAAGAAGAAGATTGCTTTTCTTTTCCTAACCATTTGTCTCCACTTGAGTTCGGGTAGTAATGACATAAATTCTTACAAAAGAACATTAATTTTAAGTTTTGTTTTTCTTTTGTTCTTTACATTTAGTTAATCGGTAAAATATATGAAGCAGGTTTCCGAAGACAGGATGCAATGTCACTTACGATTTGATCCCAATGCCGCTAGAGCAATATCATAATGGATTTGATGTGTGGCCATGGATGGACATCATCTCAAGAGATTTAATGTATTCATCTTTAGATATCATATCCAACCACAACCAATGTCTTCTCCCAAGTTGTATTATTTATAAGCTTACATACATAACACATTATATACATAAGAGATTATACTGTATTTGACATGCTTATGACTAAGACTAATCAAATTGATACCAATAAAACAAAAACTACGACTTTTATCCCTTCACCACCCCGTCAAGAATAGTTCTAGAAAGATTTATTCAATCCCATAAACCAAAATCCAAAAATGACAAGTTCTAACTTAACAAGATACTAAACATCCACAATTTTGCCTTTTAAGTTTGAAAGAAGTTAATTTTTCATTCATAATGAAAGGCTTTTAAATATTTGGAGACGCTATTAATTTCTAGTTGCTTTTTCAACTTCTTTTTTTTCATAATTGTTTTAACATGTATAATATAGAAAGCTAGAAATGTTATAACTAGATACAAAAAGTTTTTTTTTCCCTAATTTATATAAAATTAAAAAAAAAACAAAAATGCTTGCAAAAAGAAGAGAATCTAGTATCAATAAATATACAATATGCATTAATATCAATTTAATCTCAAATATACTGATCTATTAAAAATACATATAAATAACTAAAATTAGTGGGACCCATAAATATCTTGCCATGTTTTTATTACATCACTGATATGATAACATTTTAGATTGTAATAATCCTTCAAAGCTTTCACACATATGTAAATCCGGTCTTACTTATGAAGGACACTCTTCTTTGGGAGCTTCGATTTCTTTTGTGCCCGTTGCTGTGTAAAATAAAATAAAAATAAAATGAAAATGGCTGAATTGTTAAGACATGTTATTTAATTGTTAAATGAATGAAAATTTACCTTTTGCTTTTCTAAGGCCTCGAAATCTGTTCTCTCTTTCCATTTGCTCTTACGCAGTTTTATTGGACGATTTCCAACATACTTCCCTAAAATTAAAAGCCTTTTAATAATTAAATGCTAAAAAAAATGTGGTGCAAAACACAGAAAATAATAAAGATGCAAAAAAAAAAAAAAAAAAAAGGAATTGAAATAGATTAAAGAGCATACCATTCATTTCTTTAAGAGCAGCTGCAAGATCAGTGGGGTTAGCAAAACTCACAAATCCATATCCCTTTGTCTTTCCTGTGCGTTTATCTCTCACAACCTAAAACCATTTCATAAAAAATTATGTTCAAAAAGACAAGATTGCCCTCCTCCTCATTTCATCATCAAAAATACCCCTAGGATAATGCATGTGTGTGTATATATATAAAACAAATAAAGTATGATTCTTTATGATTCAATCATCATAAAAACTGGATCATAAATCCAAATAAAGATATGATGATACTTTTCAGAACATACATAAACATAAATTCAATATTTTGTCACACCCACATGGTAAAAAGACATGAATGCCCTCCATGAAATACAACACCTGAAGAATAGTGGAATGTGATAACCTGTTGACAACCATGTATGAAAAATCCTACCTTACTTAAAGGTGATATGGCAGTGCTCCATGACTTCAAAGTTCAAACAAACATCTGAAGAGGACATGCAAATGGCTCATACCCATGTACACCAAATAACAATTTTTGAGCATTATAAGAGTTTAAAGTTGAATAAAGAGACTTACTCTAGCCATGTTAAAGGAAGGAAACCTTGAAAATGCTTTTGAAAGAACATCATCATTCACCTCATTCCCAAGATCACCACAAAATAAACGAAAATCATCTGCAAAAAACCATAAGCTTCATAAGAATTATGGTTTTTGATTAATGATAAAAGGGTAAAGTGGTCATACTTTCAGGCCACTCAGCCAAAGTAGGATCCTCCCATGCTTGACCTGCTGCTTTTCGAGGTATGGCTTTCTTCTTTGTTTCTGATTTGTGTTCTATTTCACTGTTTGCAAGTGCAGCTTTAACACTTTTTAAAGCTTCAGGGGTAATTGTCTGGGCATCTCTTTGAAACAGTTGTTGTGCCTGATAAGAAAACACCACATCCTCACTCATTACAATCACACAAGAAGAAGAATATATAACAAAAACAAATAAGATTGGCTTCTCTTTGGTTTTCTCAACAATTAGTTGCACATCCCATGTTTTGCTATTGAGAATTAGGTAAAATTTTGCTAACATCACCACTAAAATAAGAGCAGAAATTCTATGTGGAGTAAACATATCCTTTTGAAATGAGCATTTGTGATCTAACATCAAGAGCACTCACCGATGAGATTATAGAAACGTTCTAATCCTTCATTGAGACACGATATATTCATAAACAAACTTCATAGATATATAATTAAAGAGAAAGGTTTTCTAATTTAACGCCGAAAGCAAATAACAAAACAGAATCGACATTAATGCGGATTAGAGAGTGATCAATGATGGTTTACCTGTTGGTATTGAGGCAGGTACACGCCTGTAACGGAAGAAGAGGTAGTATAAACGGAAGGAACAACTGGCACATTGACAGGAGGAGGAGGAGCAGGGAATTGAACATGCGGCGCTACAGGCGGTGGTGGCAGTGGGGTTGCAGAGGGAAATGTCATAGGGATCGGTTGTTGAAGGTGAAAGGGCAAGGGAAAATATGAAGGAGCGTTGGAGTAGGTGATTTGAGATGAAGATACCATCGATGAAGATTGATTTGTGTTCGTCGCCGACATAGACTTCCGTTTTCTACGGAATTCCGATCACCGGAGAATTTCCACCAGAGAATTTCTAGGACCTCCTGTTTGTTTGTCGAGAAGAATCGAGAGAATGGAAAGATGATCAATGCCAGAAGCGGATACCATGTCAAATCGTGTTCAAAGTTCCATCCTTACTGATGCGTCGTCGTATTGAGTTTAACTACCATGTCGCCTTTTCGTTTAAATGTGAAATTAAATATCAAAGAAAATGACTCGTGACACTAACGAAATTTTAAAAGAAAATCTCAATAATGTTTTGTCTTTTCAAAAAACTCAGTGAATTTAATATTTTGTCTAAAAAAACTCAACAAATTTATATTTAGGGGTGAGCATGGTGCGGTTTGATGTGGTTTTTGGCTAAAACCGAACCGAAAACCGCAACTTCGGTTTTTTGAAGTTTAGAAACCGCACCGTTCGGTTTGTATGCGGTTCGGTTTTTGCGGTTGTTTTTTTTTTTTTTTTTTTTTTTTTTTTGTGGTTTTTTGTCAGTTTTTTTATTTTGTTTTGTTTTGCCTTTTTACTAAAACTCAGGTAACTCAACGAGTTACTTTGACTCGGATGAGGAGTGTGAATCATTTCTTAAGAAACTTTATGTAGAGATGAATCGATACCACCACCTATTGGTTTGAACTCAAATGACTTAAAAAATATAATAAACATTTGTTTTGCAGGTACATGTATATGAGATAATATCAATTAATGTATTCATAAAAATGATACTATCATCACTAGTACTCTTCATATTCATATGTTAAAAAAATTATAAACATTATTGTTCTTGTAAATATACTATATATATGTTTTTAAAAATATATAATCATCCTCTGATAAGATAGATATTTATATTTTAAAAATTTTAATTGTCATGAGTTCTTCATTCTTACAAATATCAAACTTAATATATATATATATAGATATATATATATTATATATATATTATCTATATATATATAGATATATATATATATATAGGGAGGGGTTATTTGGAAAACAAAAAAACCCTAAAAAAACCCAAAAAACCATAAAAAATGCATAAAAAAATACTTAGAGATCACAAAACTTTTTTTTGACATTTTGTATGAAAAAATCGTAGGTTTTTAAAGAAATTCGCTGGAAAAATTTGAAAACTTTTTTTTTTTATAAAAAAAAAAATTGATTTTTTATTTTTTTTCAGCGAATTTAATAAAAAGCTGCGATTTTTATAAAAAAAATTCAAAAAAAGTTTTGTGATCGCTAAGATTTTTTTTGCCATTTTGATGCATTTATTTTTTAGGGTTTTTTGTTTCTTATAGAACCTATATATATATTATGATATATATATATATTATATATATATACTATTATTATATATATATATATATATCATATATAATATATGTATCAAGGTTGTAGAAATCTGGATTAATCGGCGATTAATCGTGGATTAATCGCTTGACGTTCACCAACTTTTTTTCACTCCAAAATTTTCAAATTTTCAAATTTCAAATATTATACCAAAATATTCATATTTTCGTATTTCCAAATTACAGTTTTTCTTATTTTTAATTTTTGGAGTACTGCTTTTCTTAAGATATATTAATATTTAATTAATTTTAATATTTTATTAATAATCTATGGTCCCCGATTAATCATAGATTAATCCCTTAACACCAGTCGACCGTCGAGCTACCGTCAAACGATTTTTACAACCTTGATATATATATATATATATATATAATATATATATATATATATATATATTGTGCAATTTGGTTTTTTGCGGTTTTTGCAAAACTAAAAACCGCACCGCACCAAACATTTTTGGTTTTTGCAAAACTAAAAACCGCACCGTCGATTTTCATTTCGGTTTCGGTTTATGCGGTTTTTTCGGTTTGCGGTTCGATTTTTGCTCACCCCTACTTACGTTTTTATTCAATTCTTATTAGAGACAACAAAATTCATTAGGTATACAATTAGTCGGCGGGAAAATGACTTATATGGGTAACTATGTTTCAAAATCATTCAAAAAATTCCATTCAAGTTTGGTGTGTCCAAAAAACACCATCCAAGTAAAATATTTGTAAAAAAATACCAACGAAGTACATTCTTTGTTCAAATTTGACCTTATGGTAACCGGCAATTACCGGTAAAAAATAAGTAAAGGAAAAAAACAAGAGAAAATGACTCAAAGGGGTAACTATGTTTCAAAATCGTTCAAAAAACACCATCCAAGTTTGGTATGTTCAAAAAACACAATCCAAGTGAACTTTTTGTACAAAAAACCAACAAACTATATGTTTTGTTCAAATATTACCCACCGATAACTGACTCTTACAGGTTAAATGATGACTTGGCTTAACTATTATGACATGACATAATAATTATTGACAAAACAATAAATGATATATTCCTCCTTTAAAAATCGATTTAGGGTTTCTTCATGAACGAATGACTTTTTCTTCTCCTATGATTGTTGTTCTTTTTCTAAAGTGATGATCTCGAACTCAAGTCCAAAACCATAATTCTTGACTTAAGGCAAAAAGGGCTCCTTTACCCCTGCCTCAATGGGCCTCCCTCCCCCCTAAGGCCCAAATCCATAAAAGCCCAAAAGGCATCCAAGCCCAACTACAAGGCCTCTAAGGCCCAATGTGGCCCAAGAACCCCCAACATGGCCTTAAGCCCAAAAAATGACCTGCTACAATCAGGTGGGCCCGATGCCTAACTTAAACAAGTCCATGCATACGCCCAACATATGCTGAAGTCTCTGCGATCCGGATTTCAAGCCAGTACACCTGGCGTACTCCTAGCGTACGCCCAGCGTACTCGGCTAGGGTCAAGAACCGCCAATCTTCCGAAGACCATAACTTCTTCATTCTAAGTCCGATTTCGTCATTCTTTATATCCACGGGAGCTAATTTAGGCATCAGACAGCCATACTGAGGGTTATGGCCTTCAGATTGCGATTCTTAGTGTTACCTTAATGCTAAATTAGATTTCGTCATTCCGGGGTCCAACTAAGGGTTATGGCCTTCGGAAACGAAATCACAATCTAATTTGGACCCCCGGCATAGCTCTCTGATGCCTAAATTAGATTGCGATTCTTAGTGTTACCTTAATGCTATGTATGCTATCTTTTTTTTCCTTACCTTACTCTGTCTCGGATATCATGTCTTTGGGGTATTTATAGGCTGCTCGTTGTTAGAAGAGTTTATAGTCTTGACCGGTCCTTCATTTATTATCCGGTCTACAGACATGCACGTCTCTTGTCCTTTCCTTGTTATTATTGTTTCGTACCATTTCTTTTGCATGTTTCCTGGGATATGGTTCCGATACTTGTGTACGATGTATTCGAATTTATATTCGTTCGTAACAAGTTGTGGTATCTGTAACGCCCATTTGGTGATGGATAATGTAGGTTTTGGGGACCGAGTGTTCAGCTTGTGTTGGAGCCCAAGGGCATATCAGTAAGTATCAGTTCAATCCTTTATGAAGTTTGGGTTTATGTTAGAAAAGTTTTAAGGCAAGGGAGAGTTGATAGATTTGTAGAGCTTCTCGTTTCCTTCCCGTGGATATAAAGAATGACGAAATCGGACTTAGAATGAAGAAGTTATGGCCTTCGGAAGATTGACGGTTCTTGACCCTAGCCGAGTACGTTGGGCGTACGCTAGGAGTATGCCGTGCGTAATGACTTGAAATCCGGATCACAGAGGTTTCAGCATATGTTGGGAGTATGCATGGACTTGTTTAAGTTAGGCCTCAGGCCCACCTGATTGTAGCAGGTCTTTTTTTGGGGCTTAAGGCCATGTTGGGGTTCTTGGGCCATATTGGGCCTTAGAGGCCTTGTAGTTGGGCTTGGATTCCTTTTTGGGCTTTTTATGGATTTGGGACTTAGGGGGAGGGAGGCCCATTGAGGCAGGTGTAAAGAATCCCTTTTTGCCTTAAGTCAAAAATTAGGGTTTTGGACTTGAGTTCGAGATCATCACTTTAGAAGAAGAAGAGCAATCATAGGAGAAGAAGAAGTCATTCGTTCATGAAGAAACCCTAAATCGATTTTTAAAGGAGGAATATATCATTTATTGTTTTGTCAATAATTATTATGTCATGTTATAATAGTTAAGCCAAGTCATCATTTAACCTGTAAGAGCCGGTTACCTGTGGGTAATATTTGAACAAAACATATAATTTGTTGGTGTTTTTTGTACAAAAAGTTTACTTGGATGTTGTTTTTGAACGATTTTGAAACATAGTTACCCCTTTGAGTCATTTCCTCTTGTTTTTTTTCCTTTACTTATTTTTTACCGGTAATTAACGGTTACCACAAGGTCAAATTTGAACAAAGAATGTACTTCGTTGGTGTTTTTTGTACAAATGCTTTACTTGAATGGTGTTTTTTGGACACACCAACCTTGAATGGTATTTTTTGAACGATTTTGAAACATAGTTACCCATATAAGTCATTTTCCCTTAGTTGGCACATGACATGGCGTTAAATTTAATGAAATGAAATAAACAGATTAGAATTGTCCTTTATATATCGATTTAGGGCTTGGAGAAGAGAAAAACTGTAATGACTCAAAAATCACAACAAATTAAAACTTCTAGAAACAACACATAGTCATAAAATGTTTACAAAATCATTGTTTCCAATTTTTTTTATCCATATCAGAGTATCCCAAAATCATAAAGTCATAAACAGATGATGTGTACGGTCACGCCTTCGCCTTCTCACGATCATCAGAAGTACGTGAAGAAACAACTAAAAATCGTAAGCTAAAGCTTAGTGAGTTCCCTCAAAGTACCAACACACAAACAAATTTATATATATATATATATATATATATATATATATAGGGAAAAGTGGAATATACCTTAAGGGTATATAAGCTTATGTACCCAACCCACCATAATACGTCGTTTTGTTTGATATATTCATTATAAAGTTCTTAAACTTCAACCCCTAACTTGATTTACTTTCGAGATTTACGAAATTTCATTATTATCTTCCTCTTACATCACATCTTTATGCCGAATACCTACTAGGCTACATATATAATAGTTAAAAATAAAAATTATGTAAGAGGAAGATAAATGT